GCTGGGATAGACTCCCCCACCATAGAGGTGGGGCTGGGATAGACCCCTCTGCTCATTCCCAGCAGGCTCCTGGGCCTTGGTCCTCACTGCATTCCACTTCACCATCTTGGGACCAGTGACCACACGTGGAGCCCAGTCTTGCCTCCTGCGTTCACACCTACTAAGATCTGCCCTGTCCCTTCCCTCTGCTCACCCCACCACCGCCTTCATCTCTTCTTTTTTTTAAAGATCTATTTATTTATTTATTTATTTATTTATTTATTTATTTATTTATTTATTTATACAACATTCCTTCCATGTATGCCTGCAGGCCAGAATAGGGCACCAGATCTCATTATAGATGGCTGTGAGCCACCATGTGGTTGCTGGGAATTGAACTCAGGACCTCTGGAGTATCAGTCAGTGCTCTTAACCTCGGAGCCACCTCTCCAGCCCCCTTCATCTCTTCTTGGATCAGACACAGACCCAACTGTTGAGTCTCTATTTTGCTCAGGAGCTGTGGGGCTGACGATGCACTAGGCACAGAGGCCTTGCATACATTCTCACATACAGGTCTAGAATGTTGGTTTGCTCAAACTCAGCTCCCTAAGAAAATCTAATTGCATGTTCAATTCCAAGGACTGGAATGCTGGGATATGAGGTGGGTCGGGAAGACTCTGGCTGGTGCTCTATAGACTTCACTGCCTACGGCTCCCCTGATGTGGGAGCCTAGCCTATGCCCATCTTCCTTGGAGCATCTAAACAGCTCTTTTGAACAGTGGTCCTGATGCCTTCCTTGGTGCCAGCAAGGCTTAGCACCTGTCTGGGGATCTGGGAACCTGGGGACCTGGATTCTATTTTCAAGTGTGACCATTTGTTTGAAATCCTAGACTCTCAGTGTTTACAGCTGTAAAGCTTCCGTTCTGGGCTAAGTGGGGATGTGCTCAAAGACAGTTCTCTCCCTGATGTTACCAGTGATACATGGTCTAGATAGTAACGTAACCCCGTCTCCACGACTGCCCTCCCATGACATATCCTGAGTTTCTCAACCCATGAGAGTGGCCACGTATAGTTGTCAGTGAGGGTCCTGTTGTGGGAGGGAAGTGGGCAGATACTCACAATCTTCTCCTGAGTACCCGATGACGGTGTCAGGCTCGGGACCCTTCCCAAAGTCATTTTCAGCCTGGACTCGGATCTCATAGGGCACGTAGACAGGGGTCTGCCCCACCACGTAGCGAGAGCCCCACACCGTGACATTGTTCCATGTTTCTCGGGTCTCTCTCCGTCGCCACTTGACAATGTAGCGCAGGTTGGGGCCAAAGGCAGAGGTAGCATTCATGGGCTGTGCAGGGTGAGACAGACAGGCCGACAGGGTAGACAGGGTATTGGTAAAGCCACCCTCAGCTTGCCCTCTCCCTCTCCATCTGGACCAAACTCTCTACTCTGCTTCCCTGCTACCGGCCAGTTCCATTCCAATATAGACTATGGTATCCTGCATCTGCTGAGCCCCCAGAGAGCCTAACATCCCGGGAACTGTGGAGCACCCAGATTTTCTATGACAATAGGTTCACCAGAGACTTAATCACTTTGACTGCAAGCACCACCCACACTGCAGGTGCACAGGGAACAAATGCTTTACTTAGGGCAAACTTCCTCCTACGACAGAAGGAGCAGGGAGCCAAAGGCTGACAGTCGTGATCTCCAGAGTCAGAGAGAGGACCCCCAGCTAATCAAGCTGCTCCCCTGCTAATGAGCTCAAAATTCCAGGACTGACTTCAGTTCTATCAAATCCGCAAGTCAGTCTTGCTCGTCTTCATGTATGAGAGCTTGTTAAAGGCGATGGGAACCCATTCACCCGAAGGACCTGGCTCAGGAACCAGGCTCCCAGAGTTGGCCACACAGCGCCATAGACCAGCTGTCCAGATTTAGAGTTCAGTCCAAAGCTGTTGGCCTAGGATGCTGGAGGGCCAGGCTTCAGAGAGACAGGGCTGACGGGGACTCTGAGGAGCACCGCATCTCTGTCACCACTTCAGTGACCTCGTTTTCAGCTTTTGGGGGGGGGGATTAGAAAAAGTCAGTTTCTAAGCATATATCCCAGTTATAGTTTGCAAAGTGTAGTCAGGGAGCCAGGGTGAAGAGGGGAACTGACAGTCCCAGACCAAAGGAAGCCTCTCAGCTCATCTAGCCCAGGTAGCAGAAAGACCTGCACTTCGTAATGGTCCAGCGCCTCCGACAGCCACTGCACAGAGTCAGTACACGCTACGCTCAGTATCAATGTTCTGCACGTCTCTCTTTCCTGAAGCCTGAGTCCCTCCTTCAACATCAGACCATCTATTCTGGTGGCTTTCTCGATGAATTTTGCTAGACTGGCAGTCTGTGGAATTGGATGACCTCTGCTCCCAAGTCTGTTCTGAACTCCTGCTCCCAGGACGTTGTCCTGTTTGGTTTCTGAATGCCCAGTTCTGAGACTAGCTTGTTTCTCAGAGGCCAGTGGTCCCAATCAGTTAGATAGTCTGTAACATACCATGACCCCAGAGGGTAAGGAATGGGGGTTCCTGGGTGCCTGCTGCTAGGAGAGTGTGGGGTAGGGAGGTCCTCTTACCGTCCACGTGATCTCCATATTATTCTTTCTTGTCCCTTCTCCCTTCACATCGCTGGGATTGGACTCAGGAGCTGGAACCCAAACAGATAAAGGTGAAGTCAAACCGGAACCTGACAAGGGCACCCCTGATCGTTTACCGCCCACCTAACTGCCCCCTTGTGTACTCTGGCTCTTCCCTGTTCCCAACTCTCTCTCTCTCTCTCTCTCTCTCTCTCTCTCTCTCTCTCTCTCTCCCTCCCATGCATGACACATCATCCTAGCTAAGATTTAAACCCCCAAAGTAGACCTAGTTTCTTTAATCTTTTACCAGTTAGCTCCTATCATAAACCTTTCCACACTGCACGTGGCCATTGTGCTAACCCCTTGTGCTGTTCCCATAACAGACCAGCCGCTAGGATGCTTTGTGACATGCTGGCTTATCCTGGCATTTAATATTTTGGGGCAAGCATTTCTGCCTCCATGAGCTGGTGTGATCTCATAAACTTAAACATGATTAGGAAGAGAAATCCGACATAACACCAGATTATCTATCTTTATGTGCGCCTCTGCCACCGCTCTGCCCCGTCAAGCAGATAATAAAGAATCATTAACAGTAATAAAAATGCCAGTTAAGATTAATTATGTGCTTATTACATGACAGGCACCGCAGTAAGTGCATGGCATGCGTTTTCTCTTTTCTTTCATGGGCATTGGTGTGGGCACATGTGCGGAGGCCGGGGGTCAACACTAGGTGTGGTCCTCAATCACTCTCCACTTTAGCTTTTGAGGCAGGGTCTCTCACTGCACCTGGAGATCAGTGATTCAGCCCCAGTGGCTGGCCAGCAAGCCCCAGGCATCCTTCTGTCCCAACTCCCCCAGTGCTGGCATTACAGACAAGTGCCACTGTGCCCATCTTTTCCATAGGTTCTGGGGATTGGATTTAGGTCTTCATGCTTCATGGCAAGCAGCTTACAAACTGAACTGTCTTCCTGGCCTCCAGGAAGACAAATTTTCTTCTTAAAATCTTTATCTATCTATCTATCTATCTATCTATCTATCTATCTATCTATCTATCTATC